GCCCTTTCTCCTCCTCGTCCCTCTGTCTCCCCCTTTCTGTTCTTCCTCTCCCCTCCACCCCGTCTTGCCCTACTCCTCTCTTCTCCTTCACCCCCGCCCTTCTTTTCACTTGAAGCAATATTCGGTGTCTAATGAGCACGCTCATTCAGCACTGGAGACGTTTCAAGAGAAAAGCTGAAACGGCCGTGTGCCCGCGCATGCGTCTGGTGCCCACGTCTCCGGGGAAGGACGAAGGGCATCTTCTCCTGGAGCCAAGCCTGCATGACAGACAGCCTGGACAAGAGCCACTCCTGCCCTCACTGCCCATGCCAGCTGGCCGCACAAAGGTCCCAGCCCAGCAGGAGAGGAAAGGGACACCTGGGCTGAGCAGGCCACGCAGACCCCAGGCCTTGATAATCAACAAAAATTTCTAAGGCTGCAGTACCCTTGGTGCTGCCTGATTGCGCACCTGGAGTTCAGGTGTTCAGGGACAAAGGAAATGAAAAGCCCGGAAGGCAGGGCACGTGCCTTGTGGGCAGGAACGTGGGCTTCCTGGCGGCAGCACCCTGGGCAAGGTTTCTCACCAAAGGCCTCACGTCCTCATCTGTCAAAAGAGGATGCCAGCAGGGCTGTCCAGGGGCTGTCGTAGCTTAAAGGAGGCGAGGGGCAGAGAGTGCTGGGCACACAGTACGTGAGACACAGAACGTACCAAAACGTGCTGGGTGACCGAGGCTCCGAAACGGCTTTCCCTAGAGATTTTATAAACCTGCCCAAGAAAGATCAGGTGGAGTCTAACCAGCATGGCTTTGCCCGTATTGGGAAGCCATCTCCAGCCCACGATCTCCCTTTGTGCTATCCTCAGCCCCAGTGCCCAGGCCACGTGAAGGGGTGAAACTGACTCACAGACACCAAACTCCTTTTCTGTGACACCTTGATTTAAAACAATCAAATTACTTCTTTTTTTTTTTTCTTGTCAGTCTCAGAGCCATGCTTTTAGGCACCCGGCCAGCCAGCAAGATGACTGTTTTCCTTCAGAGGCCCCCAATTCCCATTGTGTCACTTACAACCTGGGGGAAAATGCAAAACAATAAACCATCTGCAAGGCTTTCAGCCAGTGCAATTTGCAAGAAGTGCTTTTCCATCCTGGGAGGACTCTGCATTAAGCCAGCATTAATTAATTGCCACATTAAAGGGAAGCACCTTTAACATTTCAATGACATAATCATACACAATTACGATCATACAAAGCAACACTTTGTAATTAGTGATGCCTCCACTTCCTGAAATGTGTAATCCTTCTGTCTTGAATTCCAAGGAGGCTGGCAGGAGGAAGGCACTAAATATAGATCAGGAACTAATATTTAAATCAGTTTTTAATTCACCTTTCAACACGAACAGGAAAACCAGAACAAAGCCTTGCCCTTATTAGGACCCTAAATCTTCATGTCTGTGAGGCTGCATATTCAGTGACAACAGACCCACACAGAAACTGAGCACTTACAGGCCTGAAATGATCAGCCCTAAACAGCGGTGCTTTCGCCCTCGCAGGCACACGAGCTGCTTTTCCAGGAAGGCACTAAAGCTCACCCTGACTGTCCTGGCTTTGGCAACTATGCTGTGTTATCATTAACAAAGGACTCTGACTTATCTCTGTGACTTAAAAATGGGAATGGTTTTTCTTTTAATTAGGGACGTTTCCCATGAAGTCGCAATCCCTGGGTACCAAGCATTGTTCTAAGTGCTTAACATGTACGGGCTTGTTGCGTTCTCCACAACGACCCTGAGCCCACACTAGTCTGAGTCCCAGTTTACTAACGAGGACTGGAGGCACCCAAGTGTTAAATAACTTGCCGCAGGTACCGCTCCCCTCAGAAGAGCCTTTTGAGTGAATCACAAACCAGACAGAATAAACAGACCTTCTAGGCTGTCACATTCAGTCACTCAAGCACCTACCCATGGGGCCAGCCCCAGAACCTCCCAGTGTCTAATGTCTGTTGTTGGCAACGTTCTGCAGCAACCACAGAAGAAAATGCGGAAGGGACAAACTCTGACCCATGGTCACACCCAAAGGGCTTCCAGGAAAAAAATCCTTTTTAGGAGTTTCTCTTTAAAAAAAGAATAAAACAAGCAAATGCATAAACTGCCTCTCTCTGATGTCCTAAGCTGCCTCACTGGACACTGTTCTCTGCTTTCACCCATGAACTGTGGGGTGGCGCCCTCCCCGGGACAGCCGCACCTAGGGGCCAGCTTTACCTTGTCGTAATAGTATCGCAGGGCTCTGCTCAGCTTATCGTAGTTCATGTTTGTTTTGTTTTTTCGGAGACCCCAGAGCTTGGCCACTTCTTCTGCTTTGAGGAGCTTGAATTCACCATCGTTGGAGGTCCAGCAAATCAGATGCTCATGTTTCTGGTCCAGCAGCAACTGCAACAGGAACTGCCACAGCGTGATTGCACTCTCCATACCTGGGGAGGGAGGGCCACATCAGTGCATGTGCCAGGTCTGCGGGAAGTGGGGAGTGGGGGGAGCCCCTCAGGCCCCTGGCCTCCCCGCTGCCCCCAGTGAACCTAATGAAAAGTCACTTTCCTCTCCACCATTTCCCCTCCGACAGGGCACTCTGAATCAGGTGACTTCTGCCTGCATTTTTGTAAACAGCCACGATTCAGAAATACGGGGAAGCCCTATGATTTCCGTATTTGCCACACACATCCCCACAGGTGACAGGACTGCATCAAGAATGATATTAAAAAATGATTAATGAACTGCCAACTCATACAATCAGTCCCCACCCAAGCGACTCCTCACTTAACATGGTATCTGTTCCCACGATAACTCCTTTACCGCTCAGCCTCTAGTCCATTATTTGCAGGAAATGCTGGACCCTGTGATAAGTGCATTTACCTAGGGACCTGGGTTAATGTGGTCAGGGTACATCAGTTCATATGACCATGTGAGGCACTTCGAGAGGAAGGGACTTCTCTGGGTTACCCTCCGTTTTCCCAGAGCTCTGATAACCCAGCCTTATGCCTGAGTGTAGCGTGCACCCGACCGATAGATGCTTGTGGAACTGAAGAACTGGTCATTGCCACTTGAAGAGCCCTTTACTTCCCCAGTTACTTGCCATGTTGCAGATAAAAACCCCATTTGTCACAAGTACAGAGATGGAAAAAGTATTTTTTTCCTCCACTATGAGAGGAAAACTTATAAAATGTTCTTTTTCCTTGGACTCTGCTGTGGACTTCGTAAATGCTGTTCCTTCTGCTTACAATGCTGTTCCCCAGCTTTGGAGCCTGGTGAACTCCTTCTCATCCATCATGACCCAGTTCACATGGGATCTTCTTGGGGAAAATTTTCCCTGCTCTCCCAAGGTAGTTCCCAACTTCAGACATGTGAGGACTTTCGTGGTAATGGGTACTGGTTCCCAAAACAGTAACAATAATCATAATAACGACAAAAACCCACTTGTCTTCTCAACATTCGTTACATTAGAAAAGAAGAGGTGGGCTGGCCTCAGAAGCTTGACCGCAGATCAACTGTCATGACTGGACACAGGAAGGGCCCTGGGTTTTGATCTCGGCAAGCAGTGGGGTGAGAGTCTAGTCCCAGGAGGCAGCCAGGTGACCAGAACAAGGGGGCATCGAGAAGACGCTCAACCCTGGGAGACCTGGAGGCCAGAACAACTGCCTGATGGAGACTTATCTGTCCCGGTACTTCTGTCAGCTCCACACCCAGCTCACGCATTCCCCTGAAAGGGGCAGCTTTCAGACGGACAAATCATTTTTCTCCCTTTCCACGTGGGAATGGATGCACGTATACCTAGCCCTCCACTAAGTGTTCGTTTCCCTATTTCCTTTCACATATTTAGCCGAGAGAACACATTTTATTGTTTCTCTGAGCAGCAACGTGGGTTTCTCAGTTAAAGGGAAGCCGATTAGGAATGTTCTCTAAATGCCCACAGGGCACTTTATTTGTGGCTCTTTAAAGCGGATATTCTTTACAGAAATCAGTCTTCATCACAATGGCCACTCGGTCCATAAGACAGTAAATCATCCCCTCGTTGGACCAAAACCACCTTTACGTCTCATGAGTCTCGTAAGCACCGCCGCCGTGAGACGCAGCAGCCTGCCGGCTCCAACCTCTAGGAGGAACAATCCTTCCCATTATTTGAGGTCGAGCCAACACTTTCTTCCCATCGTTGGCACTAAGAATTGCTAACAGTTGTCTCAAATGCTTTGGTATTTTCCCTCAAACACTTCAAGCAGCTTTAAAAAATCTTTCAAACTTTAGGTGGACACTCAGAGGAGCCTGCTCCAAAGGGCAGAAGGCGGCCAGTGGGCTTAGAGTTAGGAAGGTGGGCAGCCCCCCTGCAGCTCCCCACCTTTAGCTGACACGAACCATCGTGTTCCAGATGGGACAGGAGGGCAACGTAAACAGCTCCGTGTGTTTTGTACTTAGTGCTCCTACCAACCAGGACTGACTCCTCAGAGCTGCCTGTGGTGCCCCAACCCCACGGATCAGGGCCACACGCTCTGGGCATGAATGATGAGGACCTGTACAGTAGACTGGTTAAATGTTCTCAATCTTTCACTCCGTCCCCCATTCAACTGACCAAGCAGCAGTGGCCTATGGGGGGGTGGAGTACTTTTTTCCATCCCACTGAAATCTGGGCTTGGCCGTGTGATTTGATTAGGTCAATGGAATGCTAAGTAGACATGACAATGTGTCAATTCCCAGTCAAGGTCTAAGAGGCTTCCCATGTTTGCAACTTTCCTCTCCTGCTCCTCTTATTGTAGTGAAGCTGCTGCCCCAAAATGAAGCATGTGGAGCCAGCATGAGCTCAACCCAAAGAATGGAGCCAATTTCCACAACCTACAGTCTGAAACAGCATTCCTGAGGCCAACCAATAAGAAAAATAAATGCTATAAGCCATTCATTGTAAGCCAGTGACTCTTGGGGCTGTTTGTTACATGGCACCATTGCAGCAAGAGTTGACAATCACAATGCCCAACATTCTGGTCTAAAAAAGTTCTCTCTTTGCTGGAGTGCAGTATCTTTACACTGCGGACTTACATTCACCATCATGAGGGGCATCTAGACATGAAAAAGCATGTTATGCAGGGGGACTGGCTGATTACATCTTCACTCTAAGGGATATAAGCAGGCCAGTGATGACCACAGGTGCCACGGCCCATGGCAAAGGTAGGAGGAGGAAAGGGGAAGAAAAGGGAGATGTGAAAGAGCAAAAAGTAAAAAGGCAGAGGAATAAATGATGGGGATGGGAACCTCTCATCAGGGGCCTCCCAGATTTCTGGAAGAGATGATCTGGGCCAGGTAAGGGCACAAGCTGTGAACTAGGAGTCACAGAGCTGTCCCCACACATGCTCAGATGCTAACAGAGCTTTGGAGAGGCTGGGTGGGCCAGGGAACACCTTCACCTTCTCCCTCGCCCTCCCACGCCAAGGGTACGAAGCCAGACATGGCTGAGGAGGGGAGGATCCCTCAGAGGGTTTCATGTGAATAACACAGCTCCACCAGAGGTGAGGAAGGCATCAAACCACCCTCGCCTATAGCAGGCCAAGCCCAGCGCCAAGGGCTTCCTTCTCCTTCCCCAGCTCTCCGGCCATTCCTCCCCTCCAGATGGGCCACCAGCTCAGCCACTGTGCAGTCACACAGCTCTCTACTGCTGGGGACCGTGGCCACCCATGACTCAGAGATGAGCCTCAAAATTACTTCCCTGCAAGCTCATCACATCTACAAACATCTGTCACCCCTCCTACACGCAGCAGAAGTCTTTCTGGGAGCTAAGGGGCCCCCAAGCCAGCTCTGGACACCCCACCCTTCCTGGCTGGAGCCACTGGTATGATTAAAATGGTGGAGTGTACACGGGGGAACAGGGACACGGGGAACGGGGTAGTGGCCCACCACCGACTGGCTACCATGGTTCTTGCCATTCAAGGGCATTCACTGGACTCCTTTGATTTTAGTTCCAAACTTCATTGATTTTTAACAACGATTAAGTTTCATCATTTACATGGTGGTTTTCACATACAATCATGCTTCACGTTCTATCACATCCCTGCCAGCTACAAATTGCCCCCTCAGGGACCTAGGGAATGGAAAAGAGCCTAACATTGTCACACACCCTGCCACCAACCACCAGTGCTGCATGTATTAGCAAATTCATCCAAATGTAGCCATCTCTCACCAGAAAAAAGTTGTGAGTGTTTTTTTTAATTAATTCCTTAATGCCTAGAATCCTTAATAAAGTCCTGTATCTTAACATGCAGGTACAATAAAGTCTAACTTATCTGGCTGTCCTCGTAATTCAGACAGCATCCTGTGACTCTTATTAAGTAAAAAAGTTCAAGAAAGTGTTGATACTCGAGATTTACGTCTGATATATTATTGTTCAAATGGGAGGTCTGCTTTAAGTTAAACAGTTTCATCAGCCTAACCTCAGTGAGCTGATTTCCCACAACTCTCTGCTTCAAATATGTAGACCATGCAAGAAATGCAATCTTTTCTAAAAAAATATTTTCCAAATCAAATTTTGTTGTTACTAATTAGAAATTGCTTCCCTTTCCTTGCTCAGATCTTATTTTGAATGGATGAAATTTTATCGGGTGTTGTAATGCCATTCTTTCTGTTTTGTTTTGTTTTGGGTTGGGCGTTGGTTATTAGGTTTATTTATTTATTTTGATGGAGGTACCGGGTTTGAATTCGGGACCTCGAGCATGCTCAGCACACACTCTGCCACTGAGCGACACCCTGCTCCCGGTCATGCCATTCTTGATGCAGAATCAAACTCTGAGCTTTTTATCTTAAGGAGGGTCCACTTGTAAGGCACCACAGCTCCTCCAGGCAGAGGCGCCCGTAGCGCTAGACATTTTCTGCTCCCCACTGATCCCCCTCAGTCCCACCGCCTGCCTCAAATGCTCTCTCACCACGTGGACAGGAAAGCACCAAAGACCAGGCTCTCAGCAGCTGGCAGGCCACGTCCAGGCCTCTCCCGAGAACAATGCTACCTGGTATCTGCCCCAACTGTTCCTCTTCCTCGGCAGTTTGTAGCCTAGGTCTTACTGCAGTCGACGGTAGTTAGATCATTCAAAACAGATTCTGTCAAATCCGAATGGTACGCATACCTCTTTCTAAAGGACCAGGATGTGAAAAATTAATAGGCTCCCATGTGGACAAATCATTCACATTAATTTGTTTTTTACTATATTCTCCCTTCAACATAAACAAGAAAAAACAGATATAAGCTCCTCCAGTTTATAGTTCTCTTACAACCAGATGAAATTTACGAATAAAGTAGACTGCACCCACCCTATTCAAATTAACAATTAATTTTACATATGACACATGATCTTTTATTGAAAGGAAATCAAAACTCACAAAAAGGTTATAGCAACAGCTGACCCCATGCAAGCTGTTTTGAGTAAGATGTGTTTATATGGTTATACCCTATAAAGACTCAACTCTCTCTCCA